TAAACTCACGCAGGGCGCGTGTGCGTGCATGCCCAAGATCCCAAGAGGAGAATGGAGGAGAAGGGATTATGGTATGGACATCCCTTTTGGGGGGGTGATTTCTTGCTTTCTGTCTCTGTCTCTCTCCATCTCTCTGGCTAGTGCACGTGCCCTATAGCAAAAACCTCTCCAAAAAAAGTTTTGGGCTAAGTTTCTCAGTTGCAGTAGGATAAAATATCTCATCTAGATCCTGGGCCCTAGCCTGCCCCACCCAGGGGTCATAGAGTCCCTCTGCCTCCTCCCCCTGGCCTCCGGGTCTGGGTGACTGGCTCAGAGTGCTGCCCCACGAGGCTGCTCCTTAAATGCCCCTACCCCCACCCCCCTGCCACCCTTACCTCTGTGTAGGCTCTTGAGTGTCTCATAGGTGAAGAAGCTCAAGCCAGCGTAGGGAATGACCCCGAGCACAGTAGGTGTAAATCCATGGTACAGAGTCTTCAGCCCCTCTTCCCGGGAGATGCGGATGAAGACGTGAAAGATGTTGCTGTACCTGTCAGGACAGAGCAGCCAGAGGGTGGGCTGCAAGCCAAGCCCGGCAAGGGGGAGCCGACAGCCTCAGTGCATGGACTCCCAGCTCCCGCGTGGCCCACTGCAGCTATGAGCCTGGGGCTGGAATTGTTCTTCCTGTTTCCCAAAGAATTATTTTTATTGGGACCAGCAGGTGGCATGGTGGTTAAGGCGCTGGACACTCGCACGTGGCCGACCGTGGTTCGAGTCCCGGACCTGGGGGCTTGCTTTTTTACTTTCCCTCTCTCTCTGTGTCTCACTCTGGTCAAGTTAAAAAATGAATGAATAAATAAATTAATTAGGGGAAAAAAGTTATTATTTTTTGGGGGGGAAGGGTTTTTGCTGTAGGGCATGTGTGCTTGCCAAAAAGACAGAGACAGAGAGAAAAAATCACTCCTTGGGTGACGGCCATGCTGCGATCCCTTCTCCTCCATTCTCCTCTCGAGATCTTGGGCACGCACGCACACGCGCCCGGAGTGAGTTTAAGCCACCGGGTCCGGGACTCGAACCATAGTTGACTACATGGGAGTCCAGCGACATAGCCATTATGCCACCTGCTGACCCCCTCATTACTGCCTTTCTGGAACAGCTGCAGAATTGCGCACAAGGTCTGCTCTGCTGCACCAGGCAGGGTCGCCCTAGGGGATTCTCACAGGAGCTTCCTCTGCAGCTGGACATCAAGCCTAGACTCCAGCCCACAGGCATTCCGACTCGGGGTCCCACCCATCATAGAGCCCTGGTGCTGGTGAGCTCGCCAGGGTTGGAGGACTCACATTTCCTTGGGGGTCACGGCCATGCGCGCTCTGACCAGGTCCAGGGGGTAGGTCAGCGAGGCGGCGGTCGTCCCAGCCAGGGCTCCGGCCAGGAGGCGGGGCCACGGGGGCAAGGCCCTGCACAGGAAACAGGGTTGCAGGGAGAGACCCCAATATGAGACGCAGACTGAGCACCCATCCCACTCAGTCTGGGGGTCGGCGTGGAGCAGACGGGGTTCCCCTGAGTGGGGGTCACATCGAGATCTGCAGGACGTCTTCTCTTCCCTCCTTGAATGGATGGATGACAGGGGGCCTTCCCTGGGGCTCTGGGCCCACCATGCCTTCCCTTTTCCCCCTCCCGTTCCCCCCTCCTCCCCCTGTGACTTAGGTTCTGGGTGGAGTGCAACAAGTAAATGGGGGTAAGGAGAAATGTGAGCACAGAAGGAGGTGAGCGGAAGTTGAGAGGTGCCACCAGGAGGGCCTCTTGAGGCAGCCCCTGCTTGGGGAAGAGATGCTTAGGAGGGAAGGGCGGAGCTTAGGAGGGCAGCGCCTAGGGGAGGAACTTGGGAGGGAAGGGCGGGGCTTGGGAGGGAGGGCAGCGCCTGCGGGAGGGGCTTAGGAGGGAGGGGCTTAGGAGGGAAGGGCGGGACTTGGGAGGGAGGCAGTGTCTAATAGGAGGGGCTTGGGAGGGAAGGGCGGGACTTGGAAGGGAGGCAGTGCCTAATAGGAGGGGCTTGGTTGGGAAGGGTGGGACTCAGGAGGGAGGGCAGTGCCTGGGGGAGGGGCTTGGGAGGGAAGACCGGGTTTAGGAAGGAAAGGCTGAGCCTGATGGGCGGGGCTTGGGGAGAAAGGGCGGTGCTTCAGAGGGAGATGCTCTGCCTGGTGGGAGGGCCTTGGGAAGAAGGGAGTGTCTTAGAGAGAAGGGCGGCGCCTGAGAGGGAGGTGCTATGCCCTGATGGGAAGGGCTTTAGAAAGAAGTTAGGGCTTAGGAGGGCGGTCCCCCACCAGATGGAAGGGGTTTGGGAGGGAAGTTAGGGCTTGGGAAGGAAGTTAGGGTTCCAGAGGGAGGTGTATGGTGTGATGGGAGGGGCTCGAGAGGGAGGTGCACAGCCTAACGGGAGGGGCCTGGAGAGGGGTGTACGGCCCAACGGGAGGGGCTTGGGAGGTGCACCGCCTGATGGGAGGGACTTGGGAGGGAGGGACATTGACCAATGGGAGGGGCCAGAGAGGGAGGTGCACCGCCTGATGGGAGGGGCTCGGGAGAGAGGAGCACTCCCGGATGGGAGGGGTCGAGAGGGAGGGGCACGCCTGATGGGAGGGGCCGAGATGGATGGGCGCCCCACCCCACTCCATGGGAGGGGCTCAGGAGGGAAGAGCACCGCCCAATGGGCGGGGCTTGAAATGGAGAGGAACTGACCAATGGGAGGGGCTCAGGAGGGAGGTGAACTGCCCCATGGGAGGGGCTCGAGAGGGAGGGGCACCGCCTGATCGGAGGGGCTTGGTGGGGAGCTGCATCGCCTGATGGATGGGGCTCGGGAGGCAGTTGCAACCGCCCCATGGGAGGGCCTTGGAGGGAGGTGCACAGCCTAATGGGAGTGGCTTGGGAGGGAAAGGGAGATTGGTGAGGGCTGGGCGGGGCTGGGGAAGACAGGGGGCCGGGCAAGGCGTGGGCGGGGCATCAGGCATGGGCGGGGCCTCACTCTCCGCGGAAGCCGTAGTAGTGGCCCAGGATGCGCTTGTACTCCTCGTGTGCGCTGAACTGGATGGCAGCGTAGGGCACCACTCGCACCATGGTGGCCGAGTTCCCACGCCACAGGCTAAAGAAGCCCTCGTTGAGGTATGTGAAGTAGAGGAGCCGGAAGGCCTCCTGCGGGGGGGAGGGAGAGGTCAGCACCCCAGTACCCCCTGACGACTTTCACCCCCTGCCTGGCCTCCTTGCAGACTGCTGATAAATGCAGAAGCTGGGCCGAGAGCTTCCCCATCCTCGCTGCACGATTCATGTCCCACAACGTGAATACCCGGCCTGCCTCATTTTATTCATCTGCAGTTAACCCTCTCCCGCCCCCTCCTGAGTTCTCGACCCTGGGGGGTTGTTACCTGGTGACTTAAAAATCACAAGCAAATATATAAATAAATGAATAAATAATTAAAAAAAAAAGTCAGTAGTCTAGCTGAAAAAAATAACCTATTGATGGAACCAGCAGTTGGCGTAATGGCTATGTTGCTGGGCTCCCATATAGGGGGCT